TTTTCAAAAAAAAAATTATATTCCGGTTTTCCAACAAGTAGTTCCTGCCCAGGGCGGCGCCACTTGAAGATCATTTCAGTGAGTTGTTTGTTAACACCAGTATCAGCATTAATGGCGCTGGACTTGTCATCAAAAGTTTGAAATTCCTTCAGCCAAACAACCTGATAAAAGAGACAACCAAAGGTTCAGGGGCAAGGAGAAACAATTAATTAAAAAGCATGCAATGTTTTAATTAGGAGAACTTAACACATTCTAACTAAATTCAGTAGGTGCATCTCCATTGTAAATATGTACCCCTTTTCAAGCCCTCGTTTGTCAAAACTCTGCAGTGTAATTCAGAAAAGTGTCGTGTTCCGAGGTAAAGCAGTGTAATTTTGGAAATAAAGCTCAGTGGCTTTATTCACTTCTTAGTAGCGCCATGCCGAGGCTCAATAAATTGGCTCAAAGACACCCAACACCAGGTTGGTGCATATCATCTACAAATCACCTTGCAGTCATCGTGTGACCATTTAGCAAAACCAATTTTGGAGCGCATCGTGCTACGTGGATTACAGACCCGGGGGAGTTCTCATCCAGTTAATTTGTAAAGAGCGGGAAGCATAAACGTTGCACGAACAGAAAAAAAAATGTCAATCATAAACGTTGCAAGGTCCCTAATCGAATCAATTTGGCGATAAGCATACGAAGAACGAAATAAGAAGCCATGACAAATAAAGAAGGGAAGGAAAGGAAAGACTCACCCGCCTTGCCCTATAATAGTTCGCAAATTTTACCCACACACTCTGGAGACAAGGATGAAATATAGGTTAGTTAGGGCATCTCCAGCCGTTGGCCCCCCCAGGACGCATATAAATCGCCCCCTGGGGGTGAGCCGGTGATACACTCGGTGCTGGGGGCGGTTTTGCGCCCAGTCATCGCCCCCAGGCGCCGAAATTGGCCCACTTTGCAGCCCAATTTCGGCGAATAAACGGCCCATATGGCCGAGAATAGGCCCATATTCGGCGTGGTTTCGCCGTGTCTCGGCGTTCAATTATCAACTCAATTATTCCTTATCACATATTTCATCACAGAAAAATCAAATACTTCAACAAAATACTACAACAACAAATAGTTCAATACAAATTATATAGTTCAACAAATAAAAACTCGTATTTCATCACGCGGCGTCCCCCTTGAGCCTCCATAGGTGCTCAATCAGATCTTTCTGCAGTTGATGATGCACCTGTGGGTCTCGGATCTCCTGACGCATACTGAGATAGGCAGTCCAAGTTGCCGGTAGCTGGTGATCAACTTCGGCTAGAGGACCCTGCCTGTAGTATGGTTCAGTGTCAAACACTGGGTCTTCTTGCTCGCTCTCGATGATCATGTTGTGCAAGATGACACATCAAGTCATGATCTCCCACATTTGATCTTTCGACCAGGTCTGAGCGGGGTACCGAACAACAG